ATAGAGGTCATCTTCTAGTTATGATCAATCACTATGTGAAATATGAAAACTTTGTGATGTATTCTTTTCAAGATAATCAGTGGAAACCATTTTGACATTTAAGGCCCCTGTGACCTTGACCTTTGACCTTGTGACCCCAAAATCAATAGCTGTCATCTAATAAATATGACAAATCACTATGTGAAATATGAAGACTTTGTGATAAATAGTTTTCAAGATAATCATCGGAAACAATGTGGTCTACCGACGGACAGAACGACGGACCGACAGACCGACAGACAGACAGACAGACCGACATTAGCAAAACAATATACACCCTCTTCTTTGAAGGGGGCATAATAAGTAGTGTACAAGCGAGGACTTGAAATTTGGCACTTTCTTTAAGAACATCTTTCTTGACTACAACTGGTCAGGTTTAAATTCTGTACCGGTGAAACACTTAAAATCGTCCGTCAGCATTGTGCTCGATTGTGTATATTCATTTTACATGGATTTAGACTTTGATGGTCATCTTACATGGCGTTCGATCGGATAGGCCATTAAACATAGAATAAGACTTGGATGGTCAACGAACGTTCGATAGTTCAATCGGAGTGGTCTTTAACATAGAATTCGTCATGGATGATCAACGAACATAGCGTCAATTCGGAATTGTCATTTAACATATGAATTAACCTGGATGGTCAACCAACATGGCGTTCGATCGGGATAATCATTAAAGATGAAAATTGACCTGAATGGTCAACCAACATGTTCGATCGGGATGATCATTAAAGATGAAAATTGACCTGAATGGTCAACTAACATAGCGTCGAATCCGGATGATCTTTAAAGATGGAAATTGACCTAGATGGTCAACTAATATGGCGTTCAATCGGGATGATCATTAAAGATGAAAATTGACCTGAATGGTCAACTTATATGGCGTTCGTATTGGAGGATCATTACAGATGAAAATTGACCTGAATGGTCATCTAATATGGCGTTCAATCGGGAAGTGGTTATTAAAGATGAAAATTGACCTGAATGGTCAACTAACATGGTGTTCAATCTGGGAATGGTCATTAAGATGAAAATTGACCTGAATGGTCAACTAATATGGCGTTCAATCGGGATGATCATTAAAGATGGAAATTGACCTGAATGGTCAACTAACATGGCGTTCAATCTGGGAATGGTCATTAAGATGAAAATTGACCTGAATGGTCAACTAATATGGCGTTCAATCGGGGAGTGGTCATTAAAGATGAAAATTGACCTAAATGGTCAACTAATAAGGCGTTCAATCGGAATGATCATTAAAGATGAAAATTGACCTGAATGGTCAACTAATATGGCGTTCAAGCGGGATGATCATTAAAGATGGAAATTGACCTGAATGGTCAACTAATATGGCGTTCAATCGGGATGATCATTTAAGATGGAAATTGACCTGAATGGTCAACTAATATGGCGCTCAATCGGGGAATGGTCATTAAAGATGGAAATTGACCTGAATGGTCAACTAATATGGCGTTCAATCGGGATGATCCATCGACCTGGATGGCCATCTTACACGGTGTTCGATCGTGATGGGCAGTTAACATGGCATTCGTTCTTGTAAATGATCTGGATTGCTGACTAATATGACTACGGTCTGGATTATCAGTTGGAATGACATTAGATCCGGATGTTATTTGACTTGACTTGTAAATTAAATTACTAACGACATGCTCACTTTTACACAACTTACGGAGCTGTCTCAATTTTCTCAAAGGGATGTAACAGAGAATGGAATAAAAATTAAATTACTTGAATAGTTCTCCCCCTTGAATAAAACTGCCACTTAACCACAATACATGTACATACATATCATTACGACAACCCATAATAATTTAAAAAATAAAATGTCCACGCAATTTTGAATGTCATTATAATTCATTAAAAAGTTGACGAAATGAAAATTTAAAAGCGCACCAAGACATTTTTAGTCATAAACTCTCGACCATGTCATGTGAGAATGAAAATTTACAAATTTATACATGTTTTTTTTTAAAAATATCTTTAAATATTCAATTCCAAAGTTGGATTAACGAAAAGTATATTGGAAGTTACAAATAACAACAAAAACAATGTAATATTTGTATAATTTATTTTTTTTCTATTTCTGTTTCTGCACGTAAATTTCGTGTACTACCAACGTGTGCCTATTTATAGAAGAAAGAAAATAACTACAACATTGAAAGTAAAAAAAATCGTAGCTTGATCATAGAGATAATAAAAGATGAGAAGGTAAACAAATGTAAGTTTGTGAAAATACGTTCTAAAATTTGACACATTCACTGGCAATAAAAAAGTGCCAATCTAGGTACGTGTGGCCGCATTTTTAATTTTGCGTAAGTGATAATAATGTGCTTTATATAAGATGAATATATGGTTATTTTAACTTATAATAAACATTATATTATACATGTACGCGCACATGCAAACACGCGCCCGCATGCACTCACCCGTACATACAAATTGATATGTTCTCGATTGTTCTAACTGAACTATAAACTATTTAGATGAAATATTTGGCTTCCACCTTTAAAAAAAACGATTTATCATCATTTTCATATTTACATACATGTATTACCTAAAAGATATGTTCCGAATGAGCATCAATTCGGATTTTTAAAGCTGCACGCCTCCAGATGAACTAAAAAAAAATCAAGAAAAAAATCTAATTTAAGAAAAAATTACTAAAATTTCATGAAAAGTAAAAAAGATTAAAGATTCAAATAATAATTTACATGCTTTGTGCGATTAATGACTTATTTTTCCCCCAAAAAAATCACCATATTTCTAATATGCAGAAAGGTTTGGGTTGTTATATTTTTGCATATTATGACTTCTTTTTGGGTAATTTACGTGGTTTGTCAGCACTGTTTGCTTTGTGTAAATTACTTCCTATGTTCACATCACAATATTTTATTTTTGATACATTTTCAAAATTTTCATGAAAATTAGCATGAATATGGAGGCATGCTGCTTTAAAGATCATGTATGAATGAATGGAAACACATTTGAGTCACGTTTCCTCTCATGGCACATAAATAGTCCTTAAATCACAAAAATTCCAAAACATTTAAACTTAAGTAATATGAAAAATGTGATATATTTTATCTTAAAAACAATCATAAGTAAAATAAAGATTTTTGTATCATCTTGCAAAGAAATAAATCATAAGAAAAAACGGAGATATGATATATATCTAACCGCAAAAAGCATAATAAAATACTCATTTCAATATAATACATCTTTCGAAATAAATATAGGAAAGACTGAAGATTTCGATATATTTCACCACACAAAATCATGAAAAAAATGTTCATGTATTATATCGCATATATAGATAGCAAAAGTAAAAATTACGATTTTGATATCGAACCGCTAATACTGATGTATGTAGAAATAAACATTTTGATATACATGCATTATAACTGCACTATTTCTTACTGAAGAAAAACTAAGATTTTGATATCTATCACCATACACTGTCACAAGTAAACACTGAGATTTCGATATATCTCACCGCACACAATCACAGGTAATCACTGATAATTTAATATATCTCACTGCACATAATCACAGGTAATCACTGATATTTTAATATATCTCACCGCACATAATCACAGGTAATCACTGATACTTTAATATATCTCACTGCACATAATCACAGGTAATCACTGATACTTTAATATATCTCACTGCACATAATCACAGGTAATCACTGATTTTTTGAAATATATCTCTTGCAAACTGATATAAGTTAGAATTTGGATTATTATACATCTCTACACACATGGTCACAAAATTTGTAAGAACTTTGATTGATTTCAGGACAAATAGTCATATTTTTACACATATATACCACTACAACTATTACCCCCAGACACATGTATATAAGTTTGAAAACATATTTGAAAAATTATCAAAATTTCAAAACATGATACGACCAATAACTGTAAGAAAAAAATATGATATATAATTTGATATAAATATAAAACTTGGTACACTTTGGTTACATTTCCAAGGGAGTTAACTCTCTGATTTTCTCAAAATTATTTAAATTTGGCAACATGACTTTGTGAAGCAAATATTTTATATAGCACACTCGCACATTCATATTATAAAAATATAACTATACAATACAATATAGATAAAACTTTTATAAATGAGCTAAACCAGTTCATCGAATTAAAAGTTAAAAATGTACTTTTAGATAAAAACAAATCATTTTACGAAAATGATTTTATTTATATTATATTTATTTATGTTACAGTTTTCTTCCAAATGGTATTCTAGGTAATGGAAAACTTCAGCTAGCGCTAGCATCTACCCTTTCCCCACCCTTCCACTCCCTCATCACGTCACTGCAGATAAACGTCCTTTTAGAGGCTGGCATTAAAATCAATCCCATACATGTATAATCAACCTATAGTGTCAAACTATTTACTGATTTTGCTAAATTCAATAAGATACTTTGTGCAGTTGATTTATGAAAACATCTAAAACTATGCATAAAAATAATCTTAGTTTTTAGTATAGTAAATGGGATATTAATTAAAAAATACACATGTACATGTATATAAGATTATAACTAGAAAATGTAAGGTGAGGTTTCATGAATATTTAAAGTGTCACGTGTAAGTGATAGCCAGGACAATGTAGATACTATTGTACCTCAAACCATGCGCAAATCCAAATAGGGGGGGGGCATGATTCCCCAGGATATGCATAAAATATAATATCACATCAGGGTTTGGATATGAAGGGTTTTAATGATAAACAAGCACAAAAATGACCCATCACCCTAACCCACACCCCACCCTTCCTCTGTAAATCAGTCAAATGCAAAATCCCCTTAAATATACATTACACTTTGTCGAAAAGTGTGAACCCCATTGGTAAATGTACCAATCCAACGTCTGCTAACGGTCGTCTATTGAAATAATCACTAAAATGTTTTAATATATTAAATCATTAAATACTGGTTTTAAAACGCGAAATCCCATAGGAATAATAATATTTACTTTTCCGTTTAATGAAACCCCATGAAACCCCAGAACTTGCAGTGATAATACTGATCATTATGATTGTTTAATATTATTTTAAAACACATTTAGAAAAGTTCATTTTCAATAAAAAAAAATATTTATAAAACTTGCTCCATTCACATCCTTTTTGCATATGTCAAGTGTACATGTGTATATCAAAAATTCAAAAGAAAATTGTCTATCCAAAATTTTCTATCAATATATCATTGTTTTTAATATGGTCGACGTCAATGAAGCTTTTCTCCCTCCTCGGATGAAGAGTCATGAGTAGCGTCTGATGACGACACAGTATCACGTTCCCATTTATCACACTCGGCAATCGTCGACGGAAGCTCGTGAGTGGCGCTTTCCGGAAGTCGTAATGCAAGAACGACAACCAGTAAACACATCCCACCAAATATTGCACCAGGAATCCATAACGCTATCAACGCCTGGGAAAAATGGAAAAAAAAAGAAATATATACAGATAACTAAAACAATTTATTTTCTTTTTTTCATATAAAAATGGAGATACCTTTACAATATATTTGTTTTGTTTTCAGTGCATGACTCAGTCACGGATCTAGAGCGAGGATGGGAGGTGACATGACCCCGAAACTTGCCTAGTATGTAGAACTCCTTTGAGAATTGGAGATTAGGATTAACTTCGGAGGTTATTCATTTATTTATTTTATTTATTATATAGTTTTATTTATTTATCTTTTTTTTTGGGGGGGGGGGGGAGAGCAAAAAAAACTAGAGAAAATATGGACTCATTATCCTCCTTCCCCCCACACACACATTGTAAAACTTGTAATATGTCTACCCCATTTGAAATGTGCATTGCCCCTTTTCGCAATTTTGCAACCCATTCTTGTGAGAGAAAAAATCTGGAGCCTATGTCTCACTATTCTAAAATTACACTTTATAATAGATATCTACAGATATATTCTTTGTTATTTATCTCATTGACCGAACTACTGATGATGAACTATATTTGATTTCATTATTCTGAACCTTATTTCAGCTCACAAAGGTTACTGACTTCATTTCTTGCACAATTAAAGTCACTGGGTAAGATGATGTAGTTTTACTTCCAGAACATTTTGAAGTCAAAAGTTGTCTTCGAGGGAACTCGTTCATAAATATTTGATTTTGTTTGATTATTCCGTGACGTCATTTCCTCAGTTTTCAGCAGTAAAAGTCTAGCAGCCATCGGTGATAATTTGATTTATTACAATCGATGGTGTAATACTCCTCGAATAATTGATGAAGAGAAGAAATGTTGCATTGTGGGTGTATGACGTTTTATTAACTAAACTTTCATGACTAAAGTGGGTTTATTACACAAAATATCTCAAACAAAGCATCAGCTGCCGAGAATATTACGTTTTTTCACTTTCTTTGCTGTTTATTCCCTTTCTTAAGATGTTAATCCGGAAAACAGGAACTAACTATATTCCTATCATTTTAAATTTGTATGTAGAGCTAAGTTGATCCCAAAGCCGCATGCCTCCAGATTCCTACTCATTTTCATGATTAAATAATTACATCCTTAAGTAAAATGTTGTCAAGAGAACAAACGCATTTTTACGCATTTTACGCATTGTTAACGGCACCTACAAGCTACGGAATTTACCACAACTATATCAGAATATACAAAAATAGCTCTTACTGCGTTAGTCACGCAGTAGAGATATGGCGGTAAATATGCAAAATCAATCATGAATTGCATATATAGCAAGTAAATAAATATTTGAATTGTGTATATTTTAACTTTTCTTCATATCTGAATACTTTTTTTCTCTCAATAAATAATACAGCTCATCTGGAGGCATGCGGCTTTAATTGATTTGTATGTTAGTACACAGTAAGGCAAAACGTATGAAGTGGCTTACCAAATTGCTAACAAAGGGTGCTAAAATTCCGCCAATGCGAGATATTGATGATGCGATTCCGAGACCGCTATTTCTGAAAAATATAAGGAATGTATTGTATGACATAGACATAATGAATGTAGTATTAGACCAAAAATATATGGAATGAAGTGTAAGACCAAGAAAAATAGAATTATTAAACAATTTGTCTCCATTAATAGTGATTCCCAAAAAAAAATAAAGCCCCAACAACAATCAAACCTTAAAAGTACATTCATGCAGCTTGTGCATGTTGTTCAATTAACAGCATGTTACATATTCTTATTTGATAGTTTGTACAAAGTTCTCAATTGACAGCAAAAATCAAAACCTATCTGACAACAATTGACATGTTTTACAATATTCTTATTTGACAACATTTAACAAATTCTCATTTTTGACAGTGTAAAACTGAAAGCCTATACAAAATTCTAAATTGACAGCATAAAACATTCTCATTTGACATCATTTAATAATTTATCGATTGATAGCATAAAATATATTCTGAAGCATGATTTTAATTGACAACATATACACATTCTCAATTGATAGTATGACACAAATATCAATTGAGTGTATGTAAATATCATTCTTACAGTTTTCTTTTTTTATAAAGAAACTATTTTTGTTTATATATACACAATGTTAACATATTTTTGCTGTTTGTATCTATTGTAACTTCTTGATCGTATAATCATTTTCTTTTAGTTTTGGCAACATACTTTAGCCATTGTTGAAACTTCTAACCATTGAAGGATATCTAATTTATTTCACCTTGGGTGAATCCTTATTTTAAAAGTTATCTTTACTGGTAAGGGCACATTTTGATAAACAGAATAGATATTTAATACCTGTAATTTGTTGGATATATCTCTGGAGTGTACAAGAACACGGTACTAAACGAACCGGTGCTGGCCGCCTTGCCAATTAGAGAAAATATGTTAGCCACTGTCTCCCAGGCATTATCCTCTGTAATGTAAATTATAAAAATAAAATCAAAGAAAATATACATATGAAAAATAATTGTTCACTGTTAATCAAATTTGGACTTTGGAAACAGGACTTTACCATTCATCGCCTGGCGGTCCGTCCAATATGGTTTCTGAGGCCGTGTACTATCAGAAAGCATTTATGCATTGCACAGTATGGTGTTGTTCAATTAAAGCCATACAATTAGTCAAATGAATAAAATATTATAACTTCATATTTAACATAATAAAGGTGCTACTGGTAGTCATGTAATACAGTATATATCAAATGAAATGTGTGCTTTTTATAGAAAACGGTAACTAACATGTCCGACTTTACTGAAGTTACGCCAAAAGCACAGCCAGAATAATTAATTAATTACATCATATCAAATTATATCATGTCATATCGATGCATATGAAATTATCTTATCAAATGTGCCATTAAATTCTCACATTACATTGGCGCAAATTCCTTTTTTTTCATCATTATTATTTTTTTGTTTGTTTGTTTTGTATTGTTTCAACATGATACATCAATGTGCTGTTTTGAAGTATCCCATGGGGGCAAAAATCTGTATTGGCGTTTTATTTTAAGATCATATCAATCAAGCTTACCAAACACCGTGAGCAGCGTTGTCGAAATAATCAGGGACAACCCGGCAGTTGCGAACCATAAGATCATCGTATTCTTACGTCCGATCCTACAAAAAATCCGAACATTAAATTAAAAACAGTAATTGTGTTGGTTTTAACAAAAGCCTCAACTATGTAAGCAACGAACATCAGTATGTTTATACCGTGCTCGTTGGAAGTCTTGAATTCTGTCAACAGAAAAGCACTGTTCATTATTATACCGGAAATGAATTACCGGAATTTACCTAATCGAACAAAAGAATATAATCAACAAAAAAATCAAGTTTTCCCTTGAAGCTGGCAATAGAAAATTATCTGGTTTATAAAATCTATATACTAAAGAAACCCTTTTATAAAACAGTTCAAAACACAATTAACCGTGAATCATGGATGGAGAGTCTTTGATTCTGAGAAGAAAACAATGTATCGTATGAAAATCTTTGACATCCCCATCAGTGGGTGGGGTAAAATAATTTTGCACTATGACTAAATACGCAAACAGTGTGTGCTGAATATAAAATGTAACATTAAAAGCATGTAAGTAACAACACCACGAAAAGTTAAAAGATAATTAAATAGTTGATATACAAATTAGTGCTGATACCACCAAGTTCTGTTGGAAGAAAAAACATTGTTTTAATTTCACTGAAAATATTAAGATTCCATTTTCGGCGATTGTTAAAATACAGCTATAAATAGAAAAAAGACAATGTTGAAATTCATAGACAAATATATATAAATTATTTTAGCATTCAACCCTTTTATGTCAAGGTAATTTAAGGTGCCACACACATACACAAAAATACCATATAAAATACATACACAATACACAAAATCGTACAGTTAACAATTGTAACATTTAAACACTTTTGTGTGTTTGTACGTTTTGTTTTTTGTTGTTTTTTTTCTTTTTTTTTCTTTTTTTTTTCGTTAAAACCACTCAAAATTAAACACCTACTTGCGTTTATATACATTACCATCTGTTTTACACTAGTGTCAGAACTATATGACACCTTCTCATTGTTGAATAGGTAAAATTCCAATAGATTCTATGAGCCCACATTGAAAAATATACATCTACCTGTAAAAGAGATAAAAATCCATCGGTATTCTGATGGATGCATTCTATAATAAAGTAAAATTACAAACATACTTACGTTGACACTGGAGCCTCAATGTCGTCTGCTAAATATATATATAGAATATATAAAAACATATATGTATAACATTAATGTGTTCGTAAGAAAATTAGCACTTACCGTTGCAGGCTGATCATCCGTCATCAAGCAATGGTTGGTTTATCTAAGCGAGGGTGGGGTAATGGTTATGAGTAAAACATTGGGGATGAGCTCGAACTGTGTAAATATGTCAATGACATAAGATCTATGCATATGTGTCTATATAATACAATATGCCAGAGAAATCTATTTGGATGTACATTTCAGCAGATGATTATGGAACAATATGATAAGCAATTTGATCCGTCAAATCAAAGTAATGATATCGAAAATAAACTGGCACCAACGTCTTGAAATTATTTTTTCAACCGGCACAAAAACAATAACAACAAAAACAACGCTATGACACATACACCAGATATTGTGTCATCAATCAGTATGTCAGAATCCGGTTCGAAAATGTCGCAGTCCACAAAAAAGCCAATACGTTTTCATTTGCAGACAAAGAATGTATGACCAATTGATATCTATTCAATTTAGCAGACGGTAACATACTTTTATGTGATTCCATGACCGGTTCAATGCAGCAGACGACAATCCGTGATTCGAAACTTCAAACGAAAAATATGACGTAATCATGTTAACGCAAAAAAACGAGAAAAACTACGTTGATGGCAAAAAGAAACAAATAAAACATGATGTATTAATATACAACCAAATGACGCGTTATTATCGAAAACAATCTACAGATGATGTGTTTATATACATGCTTGAAAACCCAAACGACAAATAATGCGTTCATATTAAAACAAGCAAAAATTTAATGCTTAGGGAATATCCCTATAATATCAGATTCGCTAATATAACACCACGCGACAGATGATGCGTTGCCCGTTAAACCAAGTCACTGATGAAAAAAATAATCCTAAAAAAGCAGACGACATGATAATGCATTCATTTATGGTAAAACTACTGAAAACTCTTGCTAGCGAAAAATGATACGTAAATATAACACCGGATATGATGCATTATATTTAACTAAACAAGAATCGAATATACTGCAGAAATTATTATTAAGCGATACTTGATGCCATGTTTTGAACAATATATGCTACAGAACACAAATCATTATGCAACACCATATATATTCTTACAAACGAACAACCGTGTCTGAAATGACATAAATGAAAAGGAAACAAAAAACATCATGTCAGGAAACAAATGAGAGGCGTTCACAAATAAAACGATTGTCTTTGAACAAACGACACTAGCAATAGCAGAATATTATGATTAACAAGAAATGGTGATAATAATGACAAAATGAATAATAATTGCCTTCTTTTTTGTACATCAAGCAAGGCGGAAATTCTTATAGCATCACCTGCATATAATTAGCAATCCAGATCTCCCTTTAATGCCATCGTCTGCTACGATAGTCCACTTATGATTTCTCTAGAGTGGATAATATAAAGAATAGTAAGAGCGATACATTTACTCTCTGCAAGTGAACATCTTAATGCAAACATCTGTGCGTGTACAACGATACGTGAACACTTGAAATGAACACGTTTCTACAAATTGATTTATACGAAGAAATTGACAACATGCCTTTAGCATGAACACATATTTGTCCTTGAACATCATTAAATAAACACCGTAACATGAACACCGTTATAAAAAAGCGTAATGAGAGCATTTTTAAACACCGATACTTAAATATTTTTGCATAAACAGAGTAATAACTTCACATGAACACATTTTCATAAACACCCTTATGAGAACACCTTTACGTGAACACCGTTACGAGACCGCCTTAGCATGAACACCGTAACACACTATACCACATTTTCATAAACACCGTAACAAGGATACCTTTACATGACCCGGTTACATGAACACCTTAACAAAAACACCGTACCTAGACGATCTTTACAAATTTCCGTTTCACATATGACCACCTTTACATGAACCCAAGTACACAAACATCCTTACATTAACACTGCAAATACGTTTGTAACCATGAACACTGTTATGTGACCGCCTTAAAATCAACACTTACAGATCACTTTTGTGACTGGTTAATCTCTACCTCTAAATAAAAGCAAAAGATAACACACAAAAATTCTTGAAGATAAAAAAAAATGCAAGAAAGCTGGAGGTAGACCGTACCATACATTATACAGAGGTTTTAATACACAAGGGAGAGCACCCCATTGTTTAAAACCATAACTCACCAATAACTGACCAAGTTATTTTAAAAGGTCTAACTTTTAGTTTCAACCATGCAAAATAAAAATAAAGTATTTGTAACCACCACCGGAAAATACGTGTAGGATTTGCAACATTAAAAAAAAACAAGCTTTTAACGAATTAACGAACCATTTGTCACAATGTCAGCATTCCGTTTAAATGACCGATATAAATGACTGATTATATCAAATCAGATATAAGGCATGAGGGGTGTAATGAAACCTTTGGGGAGAGGTGAAAGAAATCTAAATATGGAACAAGGCCAACCGAAGTAACAATTTCCACAATTAAATACGTACCTCACATAAAAAAGAACACCCTTTGATTGATGGATTGATGAAGAATGAAAACGCGTACATAGTTTACCCGTTACGTTGATGTGAATGTGACGTCATAGGAGCAAAGTGGGACGGAAGTATCAAACGTCAAACCAACTTACTTGTTGAAGAGATAAATCTCCAATAGAAGAGGAGGCACCTCAATCACCCCACTCAGGAAGAAATTGACGAATCGATCCCCAGCCAAGTGGGATGACACGAGCGTTAGTCCGTAGTAAGTCCCAGTGGCAACAATCCTTGAAATAAAAAGGTACATTTCAAATTCATTTAAAATAAATTATCTCTTCAAATGATATGATGATAAATTTGTTAATATCATCATATAAAAAGAATGGTAAAATGTGTGGTTTGTCTGTTTGTTCAAATAGTTATTAATAGCTTAAAGGGACTTGGCATAATTGGACTGTGAAAAAATGATAAAGATAAGTTATGTGCAGAGTTTTAAGTCATTTCTTATCTAAAATAACCTTTTTTGCTATGCAAAATGACCCCGTTTGAACCCTTATGTTTCAAATACGCCTAAAAACGTTGTTAAATTTAATTCTTGTGTATATTTCCAATTTCTGTTTTATGTGCCCCTGTGGATCTATATATACAAATTATCTTCACTTAAACATGTTCCTGAAACTACCACAAAACCTTGGGGAAATTGTATTAAAATGCAATATGGATACTTGGCTGACGAAAGGAACTTGTACCCAAATCGAGTTTTCTATGAAGCATTTATTTTGTATTATGTAACATGGAGACTGGCAATTGTTTACTCTTTATTTAGACATTTCTTCGCGTTCCTCTTAGATGCCTCAGACATCCTAATAGATTAGAAAATATTGATTAGCTAGCTGAAGCTGTAGTCATCGGAGTGTTTGTTTTCATTTGGAACCACTCAAACAGCTTCCGAATCGTTCCCTTGCCTATAAAAATATATTTATTTTCATCAACTTGTGTTATACGGCCGATCCTGTAGTTGAAACAATCGGCTTACGGCGTTTCTCGTTATAAACATTGCATAGACAAGAGCACTGCATGTGGCGTTTAACGCTCGTCTGTTAAAATAACCACTATTTGACAAAAAATGTTAGTTAAAAAGAGAAAATTACTCCAAGATAATAGCTTTCAGAATCCTTGTGTCCCTTTGCAATTGCACCTTGTCAAGACAAGCAAGTACATGTATTCGGTAACTTTTGAAATTGTTGAATAATGTGCCACGACGGTTTTAACGACGACGATGCAGAGATTATAATAGCTCGACTTTTTCCTCAAAACAGACGAGTTAAAATGAATTACTATCTTCTTATAGAAACACTACTTTTATCAATCTGTTCCAGGAACCATACCTACTATCAAAGTACCCCTTCTTATACTCAGGCACACTTTTTAGAACCCTTAGTAAAACCAAAGCATGTAAACTTTCTATCTAACAATGCCATTTACAAATCAATTCGTAAACTGTTAAAATGCTAGTATGGAACACGTTCATTTCACATTATTTATAAATAAATGAACATAATTATCTTAATCCAATTATCAATAATGTTCAAAACCTCCATTGTCGGTTGTTTTTTGTATTTTTTACCTTATCAGACAATTTCAAATTTGAAGGAAGGCCTGTTTTTTATACATGTTAAAGAAATGAAAGTTAAAAACCTACCATGAGTACCACAAGATGATCGTGTTCACCCGGAGAGCTGGATTTTTAAGAATGTCCACGACTGTGTATTTTTCAACAGTTTTGCTACATTTTTCGACGTTGTCGGGTTTTGGTTTCTCCTCACCTAATAATGTTTCTTTCTTGTTGCCAAATGTATCCATCTCTGTATCACTGGAATCGGACCTGTCAGATTCGACTGATGGGGCTTGAACACATTGGTCCATGATTTCCTCGGTCGGTTTGTAGTCTACACCGTTCCATCTAGTGGCTTTTCTTAAAATTCGCTTCGCTGTTTCGACTTTCCCATTGGAAATTAGCCATCGGATTGATTCCTCGAGCATCCTATGAAAGATAGGAAATCACCAACTTTGAATTTAACTGTCACTTTAAAATTGAAAGCCCTTTTAATATTGCTATAAACATTTCAAGACTGCAACATGTGAAGAGCAACTTGTCGAGATTCTGTTATTCAATCATTTGGCAAAGTCATGGCCCTTGTTTTTTAAGACATGACTTTTTTGGGTTGTATTGACATGAAACTTGGTTTTGTGAGAATTTCCTGTCTATTTCTTATACCTTTTCAATGTTAACTTACTGTTCAGGAGATTTACCATTATGAAGGCTTGTGTCTTCTTTTGTCAGTTATGGGTGCTTTCCTTGTTGTTGTTTATTTGTTGTTGTTTTCTCTTTGTTTTCTTTGGAGGTTTTTTCTACCTGACGAACCTTATTTTATTTGAGGAACAAATAACTTACCACCACTCAAACAGGGCATATATGGAGAAAGCAGCTAAGCCCAGCTGTAGATAACGCCAGTCAAGTCCCTGGAACGCGTATCCGAACACAGTCAACACCATGATTCCAACAGACCATGACAGAAAGGTGGCGACCTCTGTATGTGAACGTACCTCACGTGGAAACATCTCCAGTGCGAGGATCTTCCCAGTGCAAACAATACCCTGTCCATTGGAAAAGAAAAAAACAAACTCAAAAAAACATCGAAATTGGAATTTTGCAGCCTTGAGTCACATTAATGTTAACAAATCCTCTGAAGAAAAGGCAAACATGTGTTTGGTGGATTTTGAGCGTGTTATATAACTATAATTAAAGCAGTAGCAGGGCTAAATGTGAAATAGTTTGTCATTCAAGTAGCAAAACGTAAACAAAGGGTTTTTTTTATGTCTTCCATGAAAAGTATTAAATCACTATAACTTAACTAAAGGCCCAAAAATAAAAATAAATAAATAGTTTAGCTATACTTGTATATGAACTGTGAATACCGTTTAGATCTCAAAGGACAGAGAGCTTTTGAAAAATAAAATTGATAGTATTTTTCAAGCTTACGATGCGTCAAAATGTTTCAAGAAAATAAAAACTTGAAAAATATACACTAAGATCTCAAGAAAAACTAAAAATATTCAAGAGTCAAATAATAAGTTACATGTTATGTGCGATTAATGACTGATTATGCAGTATTTATCACCCTATTTCTACTGCGTGACTTACGCAGTAAGGGCTAGTTTTGCATATTTTGACCTCTGTTTTGGTAATTTAAGTGGGTTTTAGTCCTGTTTGCAATGTGTAAATAAATTTCTTTTTTTTTTCACTCCACAATGTTTAATATTTAAATACATTTTCATTTTTTTATGAAATTTAGGTTGAATCTGGAGGCATGCTGCTTTAATAAGTGGGTCAATCGGTTTTATTTCCCTTTGATGATTTGTAAGTAAGTTATACTTTTTTGTTCTTATATTGTCATGACATCTTTTTATATTTTCCTTTCAGAAACCTTGTTTCGTGTTTTGAGAGAGATAAATTATAACAACGGCTTTTTTCAAATCTTTTGTGTACATAAATTATAGTTTAAGAATTTTGATCAAAAGCTTATTATTCAATCATTTCTTATCCCACAATCCTTAACAAAAAGAAAACAAGTTTGTACAAATTTCCATTCAAATTAAATTAATTGTTGTGTTACGAGCCTAGATATTTTTGTTCTTTTCCCCCACATCTCCATTACACCCAATGTCTCTTTTTTCGACGGACTAATCTTTCATTAAAAACATAAACATGCCCTATATTTGAAGTAAATTGTTGGTTTTCATTCATAAATATTTTAAACAGTGTCAATGAAATAACCTTCATTTTATTTGTTTATGTTTTACTATAACTACAAAAGTAACACAAAAGAATTTATTTATTAACATGTATATATTACCTTGACTAAAAATATGTTTAAACCAACACAAAAGAATTTGTGGTACAAAAAAATGTAATAATTATTACTTTGCAATTATTTACTGTCAAAGTATTGAATTGTCGGTAAAGCTATATTTAGTTAAAGTGGTATAATCTGTAAATGGTAGGAATAAAAACTATTCTTAACATCTCAAAATATCATTTAAAAGAAGACATATAAATTGATCTTATTAGAAATTGATCTGGTTGTAAATCCAAAACAAAATATTTAATCTTCTGTTACTTGGGGGTATCCCTTCGTCAATGTGGTCTTAATAGCTTCCTTACATGATATAACTTGAAGCCCCTTTTGAGATTCGAACACATAATAGTTAAGGGTAAGAATATAGTGTCAGAGACCTTGACCTGCAACCCTTACAAAATAAATAGGTGTTTGTGTGTGAAAACATGATCACGTACATGGCATATCCATGAAAGTCAGATAGACAATTCAATGTTCAATATCAAGGACTATTTTTCTGAAACGCGTATGAATACAATTTAGACTACTTTTTCTGAAACGCCTATGAATACAATTAAGTAAAGAAATAGTTCTAAATACCTGCTGAAATGTGCCTGCAACAAGTCTGAGTGCGAGTAACATGACTATATTGTATGAGAAAGCCATAATGATCATCGTAACCATGACGCCCAGATGTGAGAGCACGTGCACAGTCTTTCTGCCAAATCTGTCAGCCAAGTGCGACATCACAAGGGCACCAAGTCCCTGTCCCGCAAGTGCCAAGGACTGTGCCAAGGCGGCTAGATTTGCTCGATCGCACACTAAATTCCACTGAAATATAGGTAATAAAAATTCATTCGTTTCCAAACGCAAAAAATATTTGACACGAAAAAAACATCACAGGAGCTGTACGATTAACAAGATTAGACACCTGTATATAGGCACCGGGGCGGGGTCAATTTTAACCAAGGGGCTTTTATTTGAACAAACTTGGTACACATCCATTCGAAAATGTTTCATGATAAATATCTAAGCTCTAAGTTATAGGGAAAAACATATGACCCCCCCTCCCCCAACTCTGGGCGAGGCCAATTTTGTCCCTAGGGCTTTTATTTGAACAAACTTGGTAGTCACTCACTAGAAGATAGTTCATGCTTAATATCTAAACTCTAGCTCTTTGAGTTTTTTAAAAGAAGATTTTTAAAGTTTTTACTATATACATATAAGGAAAATCAATGCAATGATCCACGGGGCGGGGCCAATTCTAACCCCAAAGCCCTTATTTGTACAAAAATGGTAGACACCCATTAGAACATGTTTCATGCTAAATATATTAGCTCTAGCTCTTAGGGTTTATTAAAAGAAGATTTTTTTTAAGTTTTTACTATATACATAAAGGGAAAAACAATGACCCCTGGGGCGGGGCCAATGTTGACACTGACTAGAAGATTTTTCATGCTTAATATCTAAGCTCTAGCTCTCTGGTTTTTTTAAAAGAAATTTTTTAAAGTTTTTACTAAATGCATATAAGGAAAATTAATGACCCCCGGGGCGGAGCCCAATTTTGGCCCCATGATTTTCATTTGAACAAACGTGGTAGAAACTGACTAGAAAATGCTTCATGCAAAATATCTTAGCTCTAGCTCTTTGGGTTTTGTAAAAGAAGAATTTTTTTTAGTTTTTTTTTATTGCGGTGCCATGGCAACCAAAGTTCTGCATGGAATTAAATTATTTGAACAATTTTTAAAGGTGACCACCAAAGGAACATTCCTGTCAAGTTTGGATGAAATTGGTTTAGCGGATTATGAGAAGATATCGTTTAAAGTAAAAGTTAATAGACTGACGGACGGACGCCGGAATTGTGATCACAAAAGCTCACCTTGTCACAACAAATAAAAATCAAGAATATTTTTTTATCAACGTGTCTGCAGTTAGGATACGTTCCGTTACGCAGTCAATAGGTGAAAGCAGGTGTTTTTATTTTAATATTCTCTGAAAGTTTGCATTACGTAACATAAACAGCGGAGTGAAATACATAAACAAAGATGCTCGTATGGTGTCTGCTTGCAACAATTATACGTCTGAAGCAGTATTTGTATGATCAGCATATTTAACCCAGTTCAGACTTAATATTAGTACTGGTACGACATCGAAGAAGACGTACATGTATGTAATTTACAATGATTCAGATTTAACGCAGTTAAATTTTGGTACTGTACACTCTTAAAAAACACATGCATATGTATATGACCAAGTATAGCCTTGCTTTTGGTACTGTAACCTCTAAGAAGACATACATATTCATATAACCCAAGTTGGTACTGTAACCTCTACGAAAACAGAAATTATATATATTAATTTTTGACCCAGTTTTGACTTAATATTGTTACTGTCACCTCTACGAAGGCATACACATATTCATTTTGACCCAGATTAGACTTAACATTATGACTGTTAACTCTTAGACTATTCGTTATATTGGTACTGTAACCTCCAAGAAGACAAATTCATATTCATATTTAACCCAGTCTAGCCTTATTATTGGTACTGTAACCTATAAAAATACATGCTTATTGATATTAAACCTAGATTAACATTAATATTGTAACTGTAACCTCTCAGAAGACATATGCATATTCATATTTTTACCCAGTCTGGCCTAAATATTGGTACTCTAACCTCTAAGAAGACATATGAATATTCATATTTCCATGTCGTTTTCACAAAATGCGAAAACATAAAGATAAGATTAAGTGTGACCTTTCTGATTGGATAGGTTCAGTAAACAAAATTAAAATTGATTTAACTTTATTACAAGTATACTTCTAGATTGTCACTGAAATGTTTTATACTACGGAAATTGTATGCAAATTATCCGATAATTTTATGCAAATTATCCGATAATTTTATGCAAATTATTAAAATAGAAAAAGTAGTATTTAAAAATGAATTAACATAAAAATTATGATGCATGTAAAGGCATACCTCATAAGCGTAAGACAGTTCATATGAAAACTTGAATTTTTCACATTTCCTCGTTTCTACAAACATTGACGCATTCCCCACGTGTTTGTAGACGTCATAACTACACTGAGACGCCTTGTACGTGAAATTATCATGCAGTGACGTATCATTATCACCTAACTCTGGCACATCGCAACTGTAGTCGGGTATATAGCCTACAGGAAAAAGAATATTAAAAAAATAAGTGATAATTGCTTTGATTCAACAACTCGCGAACGCAGTTCAACCTTTAGATAGGTCTTTCCTTAGAGGTTTGGCTGTACTTTATCTGAAATGAACTCCATCAAAGATATAAACCTGAGAAAACAACGGTAAATATGCATTCACTCACAAGAAATTAATTCAAAACATATGTCTGAATAACGAATGAGTATTTAATAGGTACTCTATCTAATTAGCTCCGGCACTATCACGAGAATAATCGGGTTATAGGACACATTAATCACGTGCATCAGTAACATGCGTGCGCGTGCTATGAAATGTTATACCGTACCGGAAATTTTATACCGCTTGAGACCTTTTTTTGGGCCCTTTCCAAGAACTATTTATAATGCGTTGTTTTTTTTTCTTCCAAGACTTAAATATCATGCCTTTGTAAAGGAGGAAAAAATAGAAGCATCATACATGTATATGTATTTTTAATGTTATACATTGTTTGTAAATTATTTTTTTGATAGTACATGTACTCATGAACATGACATAACACATCTCAATCAGACTATCTCGGCTATCTTCAATAACAATACATGTAAACAAAAACAGAGGTGTAATGAAAGTGTATATCATATAAAATTGGCTCGAAACAGTCAGGAATGCATCTTTCCCACATTCCTATTTGCTATTTCCATGTTTGTTCTTTGTAAGTTTTCTTGTATTTCTAGCAGAGACTCGAGAATGAAGTAATATTAGCATAGATTATCCTATGGGAATTATTTTCCTTTTACCAATCGAATGTTCCTGCTCTTGCATTAAAACCGTTTCGATCATTTTATCGTCTGCTAAAGTCAGTCACATGGTTTGTCCTTGATAATGTTAATTTGTTCCTAATGGTATATTTTGGTGTTTATTTTTCTATGTTAGGAATTTATTTCTTGTGTTGGGTATTCCCGCGGTATTCGTATTTCGCTGTTCACCATCACAATAAATATGAATTTATTTACATATATAAAGTTACTCATCTACCATCTTTTTCATCTGTACAGACAGTTATAGTGAATTAATATTTTGTATGAAAGTCAAAAATACTATTTTGTTTACATTTTGCTACTTTTAGGACAAATTTATCGCTACATTGTTCAGTCAACGAGCATGTTACATTCTCTTAAACCATTATTTAAACATAATAGAATTCATGAGAAGAAGAAAAAAGTTTCTGAGGCGTGATGTGCCTTTAAACAATTTAGAATATCAAGACCTTTAATATCTTATCATCTCATCTTACATATGTATCACCATAATTATCTTCTAATTTTACAACCTAGTGTAATAAATATGTTTTTTTTCTTCCCTACGATGATCTCTTGGATTAACAAAACTTTTTTTGAGTTCATTGCCCCCTCCCCCCCCCCCCCCCTCCCGAATCTTTGTGCACTACGTCACCTCGAAACTGTAGACAATGTTTTGAAAAGTCAAAAATTCGGGCTGTTGTAAATAAGTCCCAAGAATTAAAACATAAGTCCACAAAGAACGTGAACTTTATTCAGAGGTGATCCTTTAAGACTGAATATGATGTTAATAGAAATCGAGATACAAATTATTGTAAGGATAACAAAATTCTTTAAATCATACAAATGTTTTATCCAGAAATTTTCCCCATAGGAGTAAGTTCACATTCAAACTGTAATTCAATTTGACCTTAAATGTTAACTATAATTCAAACTACAAACGCTATGGCACGATGTTGAAATCGCGATGATACGATGGTGAAAACACGATGGTGTGATGGAACAATGGTGAAAATACGATGGCGCGATGGTGCGATGGTACAATGGTGAAAACACGAAGATGATGTCGCGATAGTACGACTCGATATAACATCGCTTTTTCACCATCGTACCATCATCGTGTTTTCATCACCATACCAGTATCGTGTTTTCGTCATCGTGTCATCGTACCATCGCATTTTCACAATCGTACATCGTGGGTAAGGACGAAATAAAAAGTCACGATTGTCCAAACGGAACACCATGGGGGTAGCACCGGAGGTATACAAGTTAAACATTGTTAAAACACTGCTTTACATATTGCTTTACATTTCTTTATATTGTAGTCTTATGAAAGATTTCTATCCTATATATAGAATAGTTATGCATTTATATCTGTAAGACAGGGTGTATACATATAATGGTATTGTATTCCTTTTATTACAGAACATGTACATACCAAATGGAATGTGCAGTACCTGTATATCAAAATTTAGTCCCATTTGACCTGTGTTACTATAGACTACACCATATACATTACGAAAAAAATCAAAAGAAAGAATATTTAAATATAATGACGTGACGTGTATAATAACACATTTAAATTGCGTTATTTGATAGACTACATGTACAAGTATTTTATATATCTGATTTCGGGACATGGTTTTTAGAATAAAGTTAAAGGCACATTATGCCTCAGAAACAAATAAATTTTTACTTCCTTCAAAAGGGCAAACATGAATTTTATTATGTTTAAATAATGGTTTAAGACTTAAACAACGTAGTATTTTGACTTCCCTAGAAAATACTAATTCACTTTAACTGTATTTATTGCCAAAAAGCAACAGATGAAAAAGATGGTGCAGATTATTGACCAATGAGAAACGTTGGATACTATAGAAGTATTTTGAGAAATAAACAGAAAAGCTTTTCCTAAGCATAATGGGCCTTTAATACATGTAACGTAAGTCTACAAATATCACGAATTTGTAGGCCTATCTTAACGTAATCATATCACGATTTTGTAGGCCTATCTTAACGTAATCAAAAGGGAATGCGATCTTCGAGTGACAAGATTATTTTCAGATTTCAGATAAGTTAGTGATTAAGATTTGAAAAATGAAGAATGACTTAAAGAATACATTTATCAATGATTCTATCTTCTATGTTATTTATAGATAAGTGCTGTAAAGTCTCTTTTTAAATGTAAAATAAATATCTTTTGAGTACAAACAGAGAAGATAGTACATTTGTATTATGTTTTAAACACTACACACTATAGGTAGAGTTATACAATCATGAATACAGTCACACAAATGAGCAAATTTACTTGACCAGTAGCTAATAGGGAATGCAGCTTTCAAAACTTACACATTTTCAGTAAAAATTTCCTAGATTTCAATAAATTTCTGCAATAAAAATAGTTTACCAAAAGATAGCATACAATACATTTAAATTGTAGGATTGAGCATATCTTTTGTCATGATTTAGCTCTTTTAGAGTTTAGCAGACGACATTTATTGGATCGCTTAGCAAATATGGCTCATAAATAACTCATAAACTGGTAATCAAGAAAGGTCAGAATGGACAGTCTGACATTATAACACACTGACCTTACACACTGACCGTAATCCAGCGAGAAACATACGTACATGTATTTTCTTTTTCTTCTTATCTATCCATAAGGCTAACTCTCTTTTCAATATGTTTAAGTTCTTATCTTAAACTACAATATTAATCATCATCATTATTATTATATGTTTTATATTTATTTTCTCCTTTATTTTTTTTCCTCTACGGCTTGCTAATATTACAGATCGTAAATGTTGCAAACAAAGTATTGTATTTTTTATTCGTATTCCTGAATAGACAAAGAAAAACAAATCTGGATTGTAATATTGAAATACGCATAATTGGTAGATAAAAAAAAATACATCACAAATTTGAAACATTTTCTTTAAAATTGAAAATATAATTATATGAAGCATAAAAACAATATTATCAAAGTGCAGCTTAAATATTTTATCAACCAAACGAGAAAATATATATTCAAATATGCAAATTAAATATGCGATTGTTTTTCGATTCGTGAAAGAACACTGTATTGTTACATACCAGTAAAGACGGCGCTTAGAATGGCAAAACAAGCCGGTGAAAAATCCAAAAGATTTAGAAATAGTTGAAACAATTGAAATTTCCCCCAAGGGTTGATCGCCCTCCATATAGAATCCACTTCTTGAACTGCTCGACCCATTCTCGTCTGCTGTGTCTAAAACTATGATAATTTCCGATCCGCACTGTTTGAAAGCGTAGTCGTAAATTGCCTAAATCCCGGGTCAGTCTGGTAGTTTGTGTTAGAATGACGAAAATATCGATACGTTAGACTCTCGGAATAATATCTGACGATTTGTAGAGAGATCTGCCTTACTCTAGTTTATCTAAAGAAGCTGTCTCATGTAATATGCAAAAATAAAAATTCCGACATAAGCACGGATATTGTACCGGAAGACATATAAATCGCATCGTGGAGTGGGGGGTCTACTTATACCAAATGTTTTAAATCTTAAGATATTGGATCCATTAAAATTAAAGATCAAGTTGAAAGATTTCGACAATTGCAGTTGTATTTTTTATATAATACATGTAATGTATCGTATAACGTGGAAGGTCTTTAAAATCGATTTTGAAATTTCTTGATAAGGATACTTAATACAAATATGACAAGAAATGTATGTCACAATAAAATGGTGGTGTAATAAATAAAGTAAACCCGGTTTATGAGAAGGGCTATAACCTTGCCTTTGTCAAGTGTGATATCATAAATGAGGAAGTTAATAAAATCCGGATTTTGTAAAGATTACTTTTGTAATTTTTTTTTCGCTACAAGCTTGACATATGTATGTTTTGCCTCCTTTAACTACAGTAATTTCCATAAGCAATGTAATCAGCAAGTTCCGATTGGAAAAATCAGTAAATAAATACGTATCAATGACTCGATACAAGTATACACTTCAACTGTTTATGGCCATTACGAAACATTATATGTATAGAACTACTTTGACAATTTGACAGTTGAATCAGTAAGAAATAACCGATATCATTCAATGAATACATGTATATATATCCACCGTGCCTACTTGTTTTTGGTTACCATTATATGTAACGTTTGGGATGGTGCGTCTATATTGTTATTAATCAATGGAATGCCTTATTTTACAATTTTTTTAACGGATTATGTTCAGGTTCTCTGAATGTTTTAGCAGGGGTTTTGGGGGTGAGTATACACTTCCGTTTCTAAACTGCATAGCAAAGAAGTACAAAGCACGCTTTATTTTTCTTAGTTAAACTGATTGGTTGGTCGACATTTCGGTTTAGGATTCGCGTGTTTTTTACCAATAACTTCACATCAGGATATTTCGTTTTAAATTTTAATGGACCTATATCCTCACAAGATTTTTTTATATTACCACCATTATACATTTGTGTAACAACGGCAATGAGAAATATAGTTGTTGTTTTTTCGACCTTACGTTGTTCGTTTTCATCTTCACTTCCGGTAAATTTGGGGTATATTTGCCATTCTTTGTACCGTCCTTACCGGACGGGTTATCATTAACAAGCACCGTTTTTTACATGAACACTTGAAGAAATCAAACCATGTTTTCCACGGCAATCTTGTAAATGTATATTGTCTTTGCCCAAATATCACGTGATACATATACCTACTGATTGTTTAGACCTATCCCTTAAATGCACCATTAGTTAGGTATTTTAGATAAGGCTTATATTTTTATATCGTTAAAATCAATACATTTCACGGAGATAAGATTGGTTATTTTAAAATCATGCGGAAGGCTTTTGACCTCTTTTATCTCAGTTTTTATGTTTCTAGCGGAAACAGGCTTTGTTTCCAACAAGTAGATTTTTTCATTATCTTACTTTAATATGAGTTCAGTTGTGCTCTTGAAAAAGATTGACAAATTTAACCTGTGTCCTCTACATAGATAGCAGCCATGTATATAATTTTTATAAAAGTCACAATTATCCAATCAAAGGCGACGTTACAGGCTTGTAACGCTGCCTTTCATTGGATAATATTGCGTTTCAGGCTTGTAACACCGCTTTTCATTGGACAATCGTGACGGTTTTTTAAAAGGTCGTTGACTTCGAATCTCTTGCCCGTTATCTCTGTGGGTTCGAAACCAGCCAGGTACTTTAAATTTTTCACTCGAGGAAGCAATCTGGCTAGCATAGGAAACGTTGGTGGGTCTTACAATCACGTGCCCATTCATGCCTGAGAGGCACCTGAGGTAGAGCTGGTGCGACGTAAAACCAAACTAATATAAACTACATACCGGTATACAGTTGTTAAGCTGCTACCAAGTTATGAGGCAATTTCTTTTCTTTCTTTTTTCCTAATGAATGGAGTTTGATGTTTTATATATTTTCAATATTATTTAACGTTCTATCGGACAATACATGACTGTTTTTGACGAGTACAGCTGGAAAAAAACATATTGGAAAGCCGCCTTTGATGTTTTATTATGGCATACTGAACTGTAGTGTACAAATGTAGTGTGAAATATACTGAATTGCTAATATTTTATTTTCTGGTCCATCAATTAGTTTTAAAAATATTTTTAACGCAAAATTACCAATGCACCATAAACCCGTATAACTTACATTGGTGCTAAAATTGAAATAGCGTGCATATACAACTACATTTACCAAGTCGGAGTTTGTAATTTTCTCATAGGTAATATATGATATTAATCCATATTCACCATGTTTTGTTTATAATAATTTTGTTGTTTCGTAGTCTATATCTATATAAAGTGTATAACGAGCAAGTAAGTTTTCTAAACGTATGTAGGAACCTGTTGCAAAATGGTCAATAAATAAATATATTCTGTGACTTTTGACTGTATAATATTATCGATATTTTTTCCAAATAATTAATAAATATACAGAAATTAAGTATCCGTAAATACTTGTTTTCTTAGTCTATATTGCGGTCGAAATTGAGCCAGATCTTGCCAACTAATTTACCAGATGAGCTATGTAGCCGAGCGTGGGTATCTTGTTTTGCTTGAGTCAAACAACACCCGCTGTTTACGTGAACTGCTATGAAGAATTGTAAGACTATATATTTTGTCTTATTGTGTTTTAAATACAAAATATCTGCAATCAGGAGTTCAGGGAATCAGGTATTCCACTTTCTGAAAAAGACTTTCTTATATCTGAATTGATATTAACTTGTTGCTGGCTACAGAATCTACTCATGCGAACAGAGCAGATCATCATCAGGCGCCACTTCAAAGTCGTGGTCTGCATTGTTCGGTATTCAAGCCTGTATGTACTTAAAGTGTTGAATGGTCTTTTCCAGATACTAGAATCACAATATATAAACAAGTCTTCTTCCTGTTATCGCAAGTAAGGTACAACTTAAGATATATTGGCTCTCAAGTAAGGGACAGTGCTCGGAAGTAACATGTGCTTTTACTCGCATGACAGGGTACACAATGAATTATATAGGCTCGCAAGACAGGGTACAGTGATTTTGTTTATATATTGTGAGAATACAAGTACATGTAAGGTATTAAGTGCAGTAAGGGTTTAAGTTTAAAGGAGGCCAATATCATAGTGGAGTATCTGAATAGTCATGGTGGTCATGTGCAGGTAAAGGCCATTGTACTGTTTAAATTTTATAATTTCTTGCTAAATAAATCACGTTTAACTTGTATTAGGATAACATTTTAATTCATAGAGTTAAGTCATTTTTTAATTTTAAGTGTGTATACTTCATAGAGGGACGGCGCTCTGTAATAAAGTTTATAGTTGCAGAAGGTTAAAAGCGTTGGCTATTTTGCAGAAACTTTATAAGGATTTTCAGATACTTGTGTATTCCGTTCAAACTTAAAGCTTCTACAATTTACTACAGAGTTCTCGGGATGCCATTGGACGAGTGGATAAAGTCGTTGATCTCAATCCCTTGTGCTTCTTATCGCTGCAGGTTTGAGCCATGCCAGTTTTAGTTATTACATGTGAGAAAGCTATCCAACTTGTTTGCGAAGCGTCAATGCTCTACTCAGGAGCCCGTTTCTGCCTGAAACGATGCAACTATGGGTCTGAGGTCTTCCTTCACAAGTAAAACTTGAAAATCGCCATATGGCGTGTATTGTGATGTTGAGTCCTAAACATTTCTCTCGTCCCAAGGCCTACACCCTCACCCTTGAAATAAGCAAAGAAAAGGTGATTTTTTTAATCCCGAATTTTCTTGAAGGAGGTAGAACAAGTATTTGCCAAGGACCAAGTGTCCAGCTGATACGGTTTCCCTAACACAGCTGGCAAATGTTGAAACTTTAGTCAACAAAGTTGCCGAGTAGCATTTGAGGTAGCAGTCAACAAGTTAAGTAACGGTTAGGCATCTTAACTCGAACCCCTAGGCATGTTCAAGACTGGCCTCTTAACAGCTGTCTGCAGATAAAAAGGCAACTATTGTGACCAATGTAAAACAAACATTTGGATCATTTTATTTGTGAAACAGGTATGTTTTTGAACTATATCATCACTTAAGTAATTTATATAAACACTTTAGAGCTTTGCTGGTGGAGAAATACATCATGTACTGTGTCCTTCCGTACTTTATTTTAAGCACTAAAGGGCACCTGAGTAGAACGGTCGAGGTCTCGTATGCTAACTGGATAATTTTCAAGATGTGGAATTGTTTTTGAGAGCAAACAAAATTCTGGATATATTTTGACCGCCCCTCGTGCATATGATATATACATGTATGTAGTTAATTATTTACTTATTGGTGGACACAGCTAAACGGGTTAAAATACTTACTCTCGTAAACAAACTTGTTATTTGCATATGTTATTATTGTTATTTAGGTCAAAAAGGTCACTGTCAAGTACATTTTTTTCAAGGTTTTCTACCGCATCATATATTTACTGATTCAGTATGTTCTATAATATACTTGAATCAAAGTACTTGAAAGTACTGGTAGAAGGAAATTTTCGAGTCATGAAAAAATAATCAATTTTTTTTCTTGTTCGCACTCGAGCAACCAGGATGTAATATGCGGAGAAGTCCGCTTGAATTAATTAAGTAAGGTCCACATACTCTGTAATATATCTAGGTTTAAATATTGATAATACTTTGTCTGGTGATGATATTGTTAATGATATTCTTTCCCTTAATCAGTAACATGTAATTAATTTTGTATCATAGTTTGGACCTTTCTTGTTAAAAATGTGCCGATTAATCGAAATTACAGCATATGTTAACTGGAGTGAAACTTTAGTTACCCGCACGCCAAGCATGCCCATTTTGGCTTCCATTTTGCGGGGTTACTTTTTGTACGCAGAGAAAGGAAAGCGACAGAAATATCATATTTAGATGCTCGTGCATTGCTTACTTTTCTCCGGGGT